CTCCACTCTTATTTCTCCTCTCCTATTCCTCCACTTCCTATTTCTTACCTTCCTCTACTGCCTCCTCCTCCCTCTCCTCCTTCCTCCCTATGTCTTATCTCCTCCTCCTCCTTTCTTCTATTATGTGCCTCACGTCTTTATATTGCGCTCACTCTCTCTCTCACCTCTTATTTTATTTTACTATTCTCCTTAAACAATCTATGTGTCATGACGACTCCTTAACTTCTCAGATTATCAGCTCCACTTCTCATCTGCACTATATATATCTTGCCCTCTTCCTCGTCCTACTTCAGCTATTCTCCTCTTCCTCGTCCTTACTTCTCTTATTTCTCCTTTCCTCTCCTCCCTATTCTCCTCCTCCTGCCCTTAGAACCATCTGAGGCTAGATAGGCCAGATGAAGCGTTCAAATGCTCTGTGGCTCTGGACATTTCTCAGAGATAGAATCTTCAGCCAGTGCCAGCTATACCTCCTCAGGCCTCCTTGCATACTTCTTATACTCCTCTTTGTCTCGTCTGAACTCCATCTGACTCCCCTTCTCCGTTATTCCTGCTCTCTCCTCTCACGTCCTCAGCCTGCCCTCTAGCTCCTTCTCCTTTCCCTTCTCCTTCTCCCCTCCTCCTCCTCCTGCCTCCTCCTACCTGCACTTTCCCCCCCCTGCCATCTCCTCCTCCTTTTCCTTGCCTCCTCTCTCCTTCTCCTCTCCTTCTCCTCCTTTCCCCCTCCTCCTCCTTCCTCCTCCTCCTCTTTCTCCTCCTTCTCCTTCTCCTCCTCTCCTTCTCCTTTCTCCTTCTCCTTCTCCTTCTCCTTCTCCTTCTCCTTCTCCTCCTCCTCCTCCTCCTCCTCCTCCTCCTCTCCTTCCTCCTCTCCTCCTCCTCTCCTCCTCCTCCTCCTACTATTACTACTATCCCATTCTCCATATCTCCTCCCTCTCTATTATCTCCACTTGGTTTACCACTAGTACTTCCCATATCATGTGAGGGGAGATTGTTATCACAGCTTTTATCAGAACAGCTGTACGATACTGATTTTGCTGTTTGTTAAGCTCTCTAATAGTCTTTCTAAAATGTGAAGAAAAGTAGGTGTTTTGTTTTTGTTTTTTTTCCAAATGATTTTACCTTATTTCCTCAAGAGGTTGAAGAGCTTTCTCCGAGTTGGGTATTTTGATACTATGGTAATTGTATGCTGTTCTATACTTGGTTTGAAGTTAGATTCTGTCTCATCCTCAAAGGTGATTCATTGTTCAAATCTAATGCTGGAAGTGGAATCAAATTAATAAAATGATTTATCAGAAATATTGCTCTGTTAAAGATTGGGATTTAAAAGGCAAATCATTCTCACTTTTGAAGCATTTGTTCTCCTTTGTATAAATACAGAGTAGTGGAAAGGATAAGATTGAAGGGACAAAGGTGGAAGGGAAAATAAGAGGAAGAATGTAATCAGATGAAGTAGATGAAAGAGACAATTGGTATAGGAGGTGGATTAACCTGTTGCCATTGAGGACGGCAGGCGTGGATATACGTGACATGACACTTTTTGATTTCGGATTGTTTATTATGATCCCACACCGATGGCTTCACAAGTGCGTAGTCATCAAGGCATCAGTTACTAGTCAATTACTTGATTTTTGGCAATCATATTGGATAAAATGAAGTTTCGTATGCTTCATGAATTTTTTTTCCTTTATGGTTTGGATTGCTGCTGTTTTTTTTTTTTTTATGGTTTTCAAGTTTATTTCTTGAATTCTTTTGTTTTTGAGTTTTTATTATTTGTTTATTTGGGTGTGTATTTCTTCTCAAATATGCATCTGATTATGCAACCTGATATTAGCTTGTGAATGCTAGCATTTCAGAAAGTAGATAAAGTTTGAAATATTGGCAGCAACCGTAGGGTAGATCAGTTACAAAGTAGATAAATGAAATGAATTATATACACATTCAGAAAAAGATGTAGACAAGCCAGTGCTCATTTGTTGTTGTCCTTTTTGTGCTTTCGGGTGGTGTCAAAAGTAAAATAGCATATGTATGTTTGTCTGTGTTTGTCTCTAAAATATTTCTCTTTTGTTATATGGGCATGTTGGGACATGGGAGTGGATCCCCCCCTAAAGTTGAAGTTTTTTGGTCAGTTTATTTATGTTAAGAATCATTCTGTCTAAATGTGTTCAACATTCTATTTATGGATTTTGTATTGTGTGTAAATTAGCCTGTATATATTGTGACATTTTCAGTAATTTTTACACTCTGTATTTAGCTATGTTAAGTTGATGGGAAAGATAGAAAATTTCACACTAATTTATTATGATTTTGGTGTTGTTTTAATGCTATGGCACCAGAAATCTTGACTGGAGTTGATATTTTATTTGCATTAATTTTGATTTTTAGCTGCTTGAAAAGTACCTTGAGCATTTTTTTTCTGGAGTTTTAAGATAATGATAGTGATTCTAAAAGTACTTTTCACAAACGTTTAAAAAATGATTTATCTTCTTTTAATTACTTTTAATTTTAAAGTACTTTTTATGAATACTGAAATTGCAACCATTAGCCCTATGGTGACAAGGACAGATTTGTTTGTGATGTAATATTACACAAGTCTAGACTTTGTAACTTAGCCTAAGCCATGAACAGCAGGCCCAACTGCTGCTAGTCATGATGCATTTATATGTCATAGGCTGGTACATCATGACAACTGTAGCCATCGCCATCACCAGGGAGTTAAAAGTTAGAAGAGACATTTTAGTCTCTTTTAACTTTTAAGGCTATTAATGAATTTGGGGGATACCAATTTCTTAGGTTCAGATGAGCCAAATAGCAACCAGTGCTGCTATTTACAGAACTCGAGAAGCAAGAATGACTGCATTACCTTTTTTTTTTTCCCAAAGAGCACATTCTCAACCTATTCAAACCCTCAGAATTGGAGCGGATGGCGCAGGTCTACAGCCAGCCACCCCCGGAGATCAAAGTCTCAGGTGCGGAGAGTAATGGTGGAACTCGCTATGGCTCAGTATCCTCGACCCTTGGCAGCCTCGGTGCTGGCACTGAATATAACCCCCTCAACGACTCCTCCAACTCTAATCCAGCAAGGGGTGTCTTTGCCCACACGATCACAGCTGACAGAATACGCAGAAGGCTCAAGTGAGTGGATTGGTCTTGGGTCATGTTTGTTGTTGTTATTGCTCTCTCTATCTATTTTATGTACTTTTTTATTTGCCTTTTTTTGTAGTAGATATTCTCTTGATCACTTTTTAAATTTGTCTTTGTTTGTTATTTCACATGTATTTTCTGTTAGTGTATATTTTAAAATTGAATTACAAGGGCCATATGAAGAAGGGAAGATGAGCAAAGATAAAAGAATGGAAGAGGAGGATGGTGTGAGTGGCAAGTAAAGACGGAAGAGAGGAAGCCTAGTAGTATATCCGTGAGTGGGACAAGAAGGATAATGAGTGACTGAGTAGATGAGTGAGTAAATAAGGACATGAATGTGGAAGTCAGTGAGAGAATAAGGAAATCAATGAACAAGTGATCAAGTAATAATTTTTCTAAACTTTCCAGATTCTTCTTCATGAACCCCATGGAGAAGTGGCATGCACGGCGTAGGTTTCCCTGGAAGTTGTTGCTGCAAGTGTTCAAGATTGTGGTAGTGACAGCACAGGTGAGGAACCCATATTGGGTGGAGAGAGAGCTCGTTAGGAACTGTGAAGGGGTGGGGATAAGGTGGCTGGTGGAAGCAGTCGTTCACAGATCTGCCATGAAGAGACTTTTTACTGTAGAGTTAAGCTGAATGATAAACAGATAAATGAATTTATGGATTGGTTGACCTGCGTTGCAGATTTGTAGAAGAACATGTAGACCTTTTGACAAATTAAGCTTTGATATTGGATACACAGTAGCATATTTTTTTGGATGATTTACTCCACACTTATTGTTTAGTAAACAGGTTATTATAATGTAGACACACTTGTTGACATATAAACTCTCCAGCTAACCAGCTACCAATTAGACATTCCCAGTGTTAACCCTTATGAACTGGATGACATGACCATCATGTCATGAAAAAATTCAGCTAAAGGGGCTGGTAACGTGAACTTGCTGTCATGGCAAATTTTACTGTGGGCTGGGGTGATGCAAACTTATCATGAGGATTTCAGCTGAAGGCCAGGGTGACAGGAATGACTTGCCACAAGTTCACAAAGTTCTTGGAGAGTGATTAGACTCAGTGGGCATTAGGAAGGGGCTTTTGCATTATCCCCATCAATAAATAAGGGTGGAATGTACTATGATTGAGGCATTACTTGATTTTTTTTATTATGTAGACAGCAAGGTGGTTGGACATGTACTTTTTCTGAGTGTTTGTTGTATAAAACTGGTTTAAAAGTAATTTTAAAATTATGTTTGATATTCTTAAGAAATGAGTAGCAAAGAGGTATGTTAAAAGAAAACTTTCCTCATCCTTCCCCCAGTTGTGCCTGTTTGCCCAGCAGCGGTACAACCATGTCAACTATTTGTGGGACACCAAGATCTCCTTCTCACATCTGTTCATCAAAGGGTGGGACACAACGCGTGAGATACAGGTGTATCCCCCTGCTGACGGCCCCCTAGCAGTCTATAAGAAGGCGTCATTCTTTGAATATTTGGATTATGCAGTTACGACGGTAAGAGTTGAATAAGAGTAATTATGTGTGTTACTGGCGATGGATGGAGTTGCAGGTGGTCGTGTGCAGGCAAATAAAAAACTGTGAAGATTGTGTTGCTTGTGAGATAATTATGAATGAAGTGAATGTAGAGTAAATTTTAGTTACTTCTGCTTATACAAAGAAATTGAAATCAAATTTTTGTTTTGTTTTGTTTTATTGACTTAATTACTTTTTGAATTACAGTATGCTCACATCAGAGAGACAGCTATTGGCACCTACACCTATGAACACAAAAATGGAACTGTTGTCCCTCCAGTTCTGTGTGTGTCGCACTACAAGAAAGGTGAAGCCTTTATTGACAACAACACATATATTCTGGATAATGATGTCACCCAGTGTGAGTAGCAGTGTTTGTGAAAAACATTTTTAGTAAAGTCTATTGTGTGCTGGTCCATGCTGAAGCAGTTATCCAGTTAATGGTCAAGCATGTAAGACATCATCCCAGTGAATGGGACATTAACTCATGATATAAAAGGTGTCACCTAATGTCTGTGATTGTTTGCCTTGACAGAATAACACAGTACCCATCACTAGTGTTGTAGTTACTCTTTATTTTTCTACCTCTCAGCATGCATAGAGATCCCACCCTCAGAGGCCAATGCGACTGACTGGTCCACAAAGGAGTTCATGGAGAAGAACAACTTCACCTTCAACTTCGACCTGCTCCTCAACACAGACTTCACTTTCCAGCTGCGTACCATCAAGCTCCGTGTCAATCTGCCCTTTGACACCCCAGAATGCTATAGGCTAACTGGCAAGGTGAGTCTATAGATTTCTCTGGCATTGGGATGGATAGGATGGGATGAAAGTTAAAGCTTGGGTGTTCTTTTTTTATTGTTTGTTTTGGAAGGGTTAGAAAATTTTTAGAAAGTATTAGTAGCAAAAGAATCTGTTCAATATTTAATATGAAATTTACAAGATCATGATGATCTAAAACAATTTTTTTGGATAACGTGATAGCCTATCGTATGGCAAAGTTCCGCTGCAAATTTCCATATAATAGAGGAGTTCTGACTTGTCTCTCCCCTCCCTCTTCCCTTAAATATATCTAAACATCATTTTCTGAAAGTGTATGATTCCGAAAGATATTTTAAAATATTGGAAAATCCTTCATAGTGAACCAGTATGCAGATGCAATATTTATTTGTTTATTTTGGAACATTATCATCTTAGCCTGATATACTTGTGTTAGTAGTGCAAAATGAGAAAGCATAATGAGACTTTTCTACTTAAATTGATTGTTATTTGTGAATGCTGATTGTTGATGTATTTATTGACATGTTGATACACACACACATGTACAACACACACACATGTACACACACACACATGTACAAACACACCACATGTACAAACACACACACATGTACACACACACATGCACACATGTACAAACACACACACATGTACATCACACACATGTACAAACACACACACAAACAACACACACACATGTACACACACACACACATACACACACATGTACACATGACACACACAACACACACACATGTACAAACACACACACATGTACAAACCACACACATGTACACCACACACATGTACAACACACACACATGTACAAACACACACACATGTACAAACACACACACACACAACACACACACTGTACAAACACACACATACACAAACACACAAAATACATAAAGTACACAAGGACACACACATACACAAGGACACACACACAAGCACACACACATACACAAACATACATACATACACAAGCATACATACATATACAAGCATACATACATACACATGCATGCACACATGCGCAAGTGCACATAAATACGCAAGTGCACATACATACGCAAGTGCACATGCATACACAAGTGCACATGCATACACAAGTGCACATGCATCCACAAGTGCACATGCATCCACAAGTGCACATGCATCCACAAGTGCACATGCATCCACAAGTGCACATGCATACACACAAGTGCACATGCATACACAAGTGCACATGACAAGTGCACATGCATCCACAAGTGCACATGCATCCACAAGTGCACATGCATACACAAGTTGCACATGCATGACACCACAGTGCACATGCATACACAAGTGACATGCATACACAAGTGCACATGCATACACAAGTGCACATGCATACACAAGTGCACATGCAACACATGCATTACACAAGTGCACATGCACAAGTGCATGCATCACAAGTGCACATGCATCCACAGTGCACATGCAGTGCACATGCATCCACAAGTGCACATGCATCCACAAGTGCACATGCATCCACAAGTGCACATGCATCCACAAGTGCATACACAAGCATGTGCACATACACAAGTGCACCATAACAAGTGCACTGCATACACAAGTGCACATGCATACACAAGTGCACATGCACAAGTGCACATGCAATACACAATGCACACATGCACATGCACAACACATGCATACATGCATACACAAGTGCATGCATACACAAGTGCACATGCATACACAAGTGCACATGCATACACAAGTGCACATGCATACACAAGTGCACATGCATCACAAGTGCACATGCATACACAAGTGCACACAGTGCACATGCATCCACAAGTGCACATGCATCCACAAGTGCACATGCATCCACAAGTGCACATGCACAAGTGCACATGCACATGCACACAAGTGCACATGCATCCACTGCACATGCACAACATGTGCACAGTGCACATGCATCAATGTGCACATGCATCCACAGTGCACATGCATCCACATGTGCACATGCACAAGTGCACATGCATCCACAAGTGCATACAAAAGTGTACATGCATACAAAAGTGCACATACATACTTATGCACATGCATAGACACATACACATACATGTCCATTTATGCATATACCCATATATACAAACAAGAAAAAAAAAATGAAAAGCTTGATCTTTGTACTACCACCCCTCAGGTCGTGTTCAACAACCACGATCACGACGGACAGATCCTGGTGGAGCTGGATGTGGGTGCGAAGGTCCTGGAATGCACTGGATCTGTTAATCTGGTTTCAGAGTCGAGAACACTGAAGGTGAGTTTTACTTTGTCGGTCATTAGTCATGGAGGAGGGAGTGTTTCTCTCCTGTTTTTTTATCTTTTATTTTAGTTTGATTTAAAAAAATTCTAGGCTTACTGTATTGTTCAGTAAATATGTATATTTTTCCTGTTTCTTATTTTGATGACTGTTTGAAATCAGCATACAGATGTGATTTTTTTTTTTTTTTTTTTTTTCATTTTGGTCTTAGCATTTTTATGCAATTTTCATTTGTACATAAAATTATTTTTTTTATAGTTATATGCTTGTCTTATTAATCCAATTATGACGGGTGTCACACATATAAGACACCCGGAAAAATAATCATTACCGGGCGTCCCGCCGATGCAACGCTAGATTGGAGCCTGCACTCTGATTTTGTCACCCATGGCAGGCAGCGCACGGGCAAGTTCCTGGACTCAATTTTGAAGCTGCCTGGAAAATGTTATTTTCAGCTTGAAAGTGTACCATTGCTAGTGGGTTAACATATCTACATTAGAACCCCATTTTTTTTTCCAGGTTTGGCGAGCAGTGATCAATGTGGCTAGCATTGTCATCTGTATCACATCCCTTTGCATGTGCATTAGGGCTATCTATAGAGCACAGATCCTGAAAAAGGTCAGTATGTTGATTTTTCTATTTTCTTTTGTTTCTTTTTTTACTTGATTTTTTTTCAGTTTTATGATGAGCTAAGAAATTATTACAAAAAATAGTTTGAAAAGAAAAAGTATTTTAAGAAAGAACAAGGCATATTACACATGCATATTTCCGGCAGTGTCCCTGTGCAGTCCTATTGAAGCGCCTATATGATCCCCTCTTCTCCCCTTTCTTATTCATTGCAGGCTACTGTGGTGTTCTTCCAACGGTACTTTGGGAAAGAGCTGACCTTAGAGGAGCGAATGGAATTCGTAAACTTCTGGTACATCCTCATATGTATCAACGACATCCTTATCATCATGGGCTCTTTCCTCAAAATAGGGCTTGAGAGCAAGGTGAGACGGTGAATGTGCTCTTCTTCGTGTCAGCTGCATATATATTATTATTTTGCCTTTTTTTTTTCTAAGGCCATTAGGGTGATTTTTTTATATCATAGCAGGTTTTAAAATTATTTGATGTTTAGTTTTTAGTTGTACAAAAGCACGCGTACATGCACACAATGCATTCGCGCCACACATGCACTCGCACACACACACCACACACACATGCACACACACACACTTGAACACACACACTTGACACACACAACACTACACACACACACACACACCACACACACACACGCACACACACACACTCGCACACACACACACACTCGCACACAACACACACCACACACACACAACATACACACAACACACCACACACTTGCACACACACACACTGTGCACGCACACACACTCGCACACACCACACTTCACTCGCACACGCACACACACACACTCGCACACACACACTCGCCACACACACACACACACACACTCGCACACACACACACTCGCACACACACACACTCGCACACACACACACTTCGCACCACACAACACTCGCAACACACACACACTCGCACACACACACACACACACACACACACACACACACACACAACACACACACACACCACACCACAACACACAACACACAACCACACACACACACACACACACACACGCACACATGTACACACACACACACACACACATGTACACACACACATGCACACACACATGTACACACACACACACACATGACACACACACACATACACACACACCACCACACACCACACACACACACACACACACACATGTACCACACACACACACACACACACACACACACACACACACACACACACACACACACACACACACACACGACACACACACATTACACACACACATACACACACATACACACACACACACACACATCACACACACACACACATACACACATACAACACACAACAAACACACAACACCACACACCACACACACACACACACACACACACCACACCACACACACACCACACACACATACGCAACACATACACACACACATACACACACACACACACCACATGCACACACACATGCACACACACACATGCACCACACATGCAACACACATGCACACACACATGCACACACACATTGCAACACACATGCCACACACACATGCACACAACCATGCACACACAACACACAATACACACACATACACACACACACTACACCACATACACACACACATATACACATACACACACACATAACACATACATGCACACACATCATGCACACACACATGCACACACACATGCACACACACATACACACCACGCATGCATACACATGCACACACATGCATACACATGCACACACACACACACACACATGACACACTACATACACACATGCACACACACATGCACAACACATAACACATGCACACACACACATACACATGCAACACACATACACATGCACACATACACACAAACACATGGACACATACATACGCAGCACAACGCACAGGATACACGCATGCACACAGACACATACACGCATGCACACAGACACATACACGCATGCACACAGACATCACACAGCACACACAGACACACACAGACACCACACAAGACACACACACACACAGACACACACACATACATACACACATACACACAGCACACACACACATACACATTGCACACATCACACACATACACATGCACACATACACACAAACACATGCATACAGACACAATACAGACACACAGACACATACGACACACATGCACACACACACGACACGATACACACAACACATACACGCATGCACACAACACACACAGACAGACACACACACACACAGACACACACACACAGACACACACACACAACACACACACACACACACACACACACACACCACACACACACACACACACACACACACACACACACACACACACACACACACACACACACACACACACACACACACACACACAGACACACACACATACACATACACACATGCATACAGACACAGACACATCCACACACACACATACACACAGCACACACGCATCACACACACACGACACATTACACACACACACATACACATGCACGCACGCATGCACACACACACCACACACACACACACACACACACACACACACACACACACACACCACACACACACACACACACACACACACACACACACACACGCACAACACACACACACACAACACACACACACACACACACACACACACACACACACCACACACACACACACACACATACACGCACACACACACACACACACACACACACACACACACACACACACACACACACACACACACACACACACACACACACACACACACACACACACACACACACACAACACACACACACATGCATACACACAACAGACATGCATACATACACAATGCATACACACATGTTACATGCACACACATACAACACACATACACTCATGCATGCACATACACACATGCACATACATATAAACACACAGAAAAATACATGCACACAGACAGACCATTCACAATGTACACTTTTTTGTAGAGGATTGGAACCACTTAACACAATTATTTTTATTAAATGAGTAGGCACAGTGTGGGGGTGTTCATAGAGCAGGGAACAAGGTAGAATTTCCTGAAATGTCAATATTGTTGTCACTAATCCCCCCACAAAAAGTATTTTTTTCTTCTTTTCTTAGTTTATTGGTTAAATTTTTGTTAACTGTTATGGTGGAGGACATCTAAAACAACACCTGTAGTCCCATCAAAATAGTTTTGCACTGACAGCTTTATTATGTTAACGTATTAATGTGTTATTATATACCTTGACTTACTAAAGCAATTTTTGTCCCTCCACAGTTCTTTTGCAATTTTGCAATGAGAATTGTGTACTGGTAATATGATTGGATTAATTTATGGTGATTCTTGTACTTTGACCTACTAAAGTAGTTTATCCCTCCCCAGTTCTTTCGCAGGGAGGAAGAGAAGGTAGGATTGTATGGGGGGAATGTTTAGGCATGTTTTTAGTAGTGATGTGATTGATTTTTCATACTCATTTTGTTGATCATCATTTTTGTAGCATGTATCCAAAATTAGATATTATTGGTAGTAAAAAAAATCAGTAAAGTTAGTGTTTTTAAGTTTGCTCTTTCATTTATGTGTATTTCTACACCTAGATGTGGAAACATTTACCTTTTCAGTGATAGAGTGGCTTCATTAATGTGTAATTCCTAATAGCCTTCATTTTTTCTCTTTTTCTATGGTAATGTTACGTAAACTCGAGTGCCAGTGAGACGGAAGTTTTGGTTTATAATTTGTGCAGGTGGTAAGTTCTGCAGTTATTTTTGGGCTTGGCTAACCTTAGTTATTAATTCCTATTTGGCTTTCTTCATTATGTCATTATTAAAAAGTATTTGCTGTGTACTTAATTAACAGAAGCAGGCATGTGTAGAGCATTATTTTAGTTATGCAATCTTTTATTAAAAAGAGAAGAAAGAAGAAGATAAGGATGAGATGATATAACTAAAACCAAATTTCATTTTCATGATAAAACTGTAAAAAAAAATGCAGAATAAAAAAAAGGAAGCTTAGGTAGAACTCAGGAAAAAAATGTCTTTTAACCCATTGGCGCCGGGTGTCATGTACGTACATGCCATGGCTGTTGTGGACCAAACGCCCGGGGCATCATGCCATGCCCATTGCCGCGCTACTGGCTCGTCGGACGGAAGTTGTTTTTCTCCACTAGTAGCGGCTTCATATATATGGTAAAGATTTTAGGCAATGGCACCTAAAGTGAAGGTAAACCTTCAAAATTTTAATATTTTTATAAATTTTTGCAAAATAAAAGCTTTTAGGTGCTATATGTCGCTCGTGAACTACCGATCGAGCCAGTCGCAAACAGGGGAAACTGCCAGTGTGCGCCAACAAGCCGGTGCGTACGTAAACTTGACAAAATTTTTACCCGTCGCTGATGGGTTAAATGTGATTGAGAAGCTGATAAACCTGCGTGTACATGTATGGAGTGTGAAGATTTAATTTGTTTGTGACATAATTTTTCTCGATGTGATTGAGAAGCTGATAAACCTGCGTGTACATGTATGGAGTGTGAAGATTTAATTTCTTTCTGTATGGATGTACTCTTCTGCCTTAGATTTCCAAGGAGGTTCTTTGTTAGTTGCTAGAGTTATAGTCGATAAGAGAATTGCTGAAAGAATTTCATAGGGTAAAGTTTTTAGGCTTTCATGAATGCATAGGGTAAATTTTCCAGTCTGCCTTTGT